TTGTGGCGGTGAATTTTATCTTGGTTGATTTTTGTTTTGGTTTTGGTTTTACGGCTATCCTAGCAATTTTGGTTTTCATGCAGGGTGGCATCATTATTTAACATGCAAGTTTGTATTTTGGTTATATATATGCAGGTGAGTAAGTACAGTAACATACTAAAAAGTAAAGTACGGGAAACCAAAAATGCAGGTAAATAAACCACAATAAAAGCGTACATGGATGGTCTTCCCGTCATCTCCAACTGAAACTCAAAAAATGCATGTAAGGACATTTTATATAAGGTGAGAAAAAATAAGGTTCTGGTGATTTTTGTTTAAGGATGATTTTTGTTAAACAAAACATAGTGAGTTTAGTAAACCTCCGAGGTATCCAACAGGTCAGGAGAAAAAAGCAGGTCCATGTTTTCCCCTCACCACCTGGTGAAAAGTCTCGAGCTCATTTAAACTTATTGTGTTGCCTAATAATTTATCCTGTAAATACTTCTAGTGTTCAATAAACAGTGATGTTTTAATTATCTCTAAGAATAGGGTAATTCTCACTTGTAATTTAATTTGAGAATTATGTACGTGGAGACCCTTAAAAAGGGCAAGTTAGTGTTATTAAGACACTTAGCCAATTTTGGTTTTAATTTGGGCTTGTAATATTCTATAAGTGTTTAATTTCTGGTTACATTCACTTTTCTAATCCTTATTTAACCAAATTTGATTTAGCTTAAGTCACTACTGAGCCCTTAAGACCTTTGTGGATATCTTAATCATTTTGAAAGAGATTAAATTTAAGTGATAGTAATCCATCAGTTATTTGAACATAAAAATGGGGATATTAAATTAATGAGTTATTAACACCCAAAACCATACCCCCTAAGTCTAGGATCATTTGATTTGGTAGACTTTCAAATTTTGACAACCTAGGAAATTGCAAGTTTATCTTTCAATTAAGAAAAATGAAAATTGGTTTCTACCAATTAACCCCTTTTATTTCAATCATCCAAGTATGCTAATTAGGATAAAATATTGCTCATTTCCCTTTCTTGAATTAAGCCTAAATGTTAATTAAGGCTAAATTTCAAAAATTACACTTTTGCCCCTAAGGCTCTATCACTTCATAATTTATCAAATTTAATTTAAATGACTTTAAAATTTTTATCCCACTTCACTCATGGGTTAATTAATACATCAGAGAAGAAAATGTGATTTTTCAAATTTTA